GGAGGAAGGGCGAGGCCGGGGGCTGAGGGGCAGCAGGGGCGACCGGCAAAGGACACTGTGTGAGCAGAGCGCACGTGTGGTCCCCTGAGCCCACCGGCGCCCCGGGTGGGTCTGGGCAGCCGGTGGGGCTGGTTCGGCCTGTGCTTTGTGGGTGTTCAATGGGCTGGGCCTCGCTCTGAGGAACAAGATTGACAGCCATCAGGCTAAGTCAGCAAAGCCTTCCTGAACGTCTGCTCTGTCCGCCGGGTGCTGGGTGCTGGGTGCTGCCGAGCCAGAAAGAAAAGCACCAGGTGGGTGAGGGAGGCAGATGGACCCTTGAGCTCCATGTCCGGGGCTCAGGATGCAGGGGGCCTTCTGGTCTACCCAGAGGGCGAAGGCCAGGCACACACACTGTCCTGAGTGGAACAGGGTTGGGTCTCTTGGAGACACGTTATCTCAACGTCAAAGGCGCCGAAGGTGGGTCCCAACTCCCAGCTCGGGCCCGGCCTGGGTCTGCACGGTCCTGGGCTTGTTTTCCTTCCTGTCCCAAGGGGGATGCTCATTGATGAGCACATGCAGAAGCCCTGAGCCTTCCAAGGGGCCTGGGGCCCCTGGCTGTGCTGGCGTGTCCACCAGGGAGGCCCGTGCACCGGGCTCCGCCAGGGACGGAGGGAGCGAGGAGACTCCTTCATCAGAGGAAGCTCATCTGTGCTTGCTGCTTGTCCCTCCGGTTCTGCCCGTCTGAGCGGGTGCCAGGAGCCGGTCCCCAGGTCGCTGGCTGAAGGTGTTTAGAGAACGCGCCCACTGGCACAGAAAGGCATGGCTGGGCTCCCGGCCCGAGGCTTTGCCAGCAGGAAACCGGATCAGCAGAACCTCGGGACCTCTGGCGTTGCCCAGGGTGACACTGTTGTTGACGGACAGGGAATGGGTCCCACCAGGCAAACAGCAGGGCGAGGCCACAGCCAGGGCTTCGCTGCCGTGGCGGGTCCCACCGCCCCACGTCCAGACACCGTGCTCCTTCCCCTCACCCCCTGGGCCACATCCTCGGTGGTTTTGTTCTGGGTGGGCGGCTTGCCCGGGCCCCTGTCCGCCCTCGCTTGCAGGGAGAGAGGCCTTGGAGATAGCCAGACACGGGGCCGGAGCTTTGTCCTCCTCCGTAGCCTGTGATCTCAGCAGTTTCACATCCCCTGAGCCTCAGTTTCCTCCTCTGAGAAATGGGAGTGAACCCCCCACACACACACACACACTTCGATGGCTTTCTGTGCGGCTCGGGCGGCAGCTGGGTAGCTGCTGCAGCCGTGGGACATGAGTGATGTGCGGCGTTAACTCAGAACCTTCCTCTCCTTCTCCGGGCCGCTCCCTGGTCTCGGGCAGCCCAGGGGCCCAAACTCATCTCCACAGCAAATCCTGCTGCTCCCGGTCCCACACTGGGGTGGGGGGCAGAGATGGAAGAGAAGGCACAGAGTCCAGTTGGACCCATTGGCGTTGGGCACATTGCTGGACCTGTCTGAGCCTCAGTTTGCCCCTGGAATGTGGGGCTGTTCTCTGGCCCCTACGGCTCAGGGATACTGTCAGGAACGGAGACAGTGACATTGGCTCAGCGATGTCAGCTCAGCGACTCTCACTCCTCACTGTGACCTCTGGGCCGAGTGCTCACATATGCCCATCTCGCCTATAAGGAGAGGGCAGACAGAGCTAAAGACCTTGCCAAGGTCATCGCCGGAGGTGAGTCACACGCGTCCCACCCACCGAGCATCTAAGGAGAAAGCTCGTTCCCTTCACTGGTACCCGTCGAGGGAGAGCGGCCAGCAGAGCACCTGTGACTCCTGGGGGTCCGCTCTGTGCAGGGCCTGGGCCCGCAGCATGAACTGGGCTAGCTGGGGATGCTCACCCGCCCCCCCCACCCCACACACACACAGGTGCCAGCACCGGGTGCACAGACACAGCTGCTCAGAGGGCAGGTGACCAGGTGACCACCCCAGGTGCCCTGGCTGGTCAGTGTGGGTGGGCGTTGGCCCCCAGCTGCCCGACCCCGAGCCCCAGATCTCTGGTGCTCAATCCATCACTCTGGTCCTCAGCTCTGCTCCCGAAATCAGCCAGCTCTCTAACTGGCCCCAGTCTGAGGCTGCCCACCTCTGGCTCTGATGAGCCTCCCCTCACCCACCTTTGCCTTCCTCTGTTCCACACCCTCCCCTCCCACTTCCCCATCTGCCCGTCCTGCCCTTTCCAGCAGCTTCTACTGGAAGCTTGTGAAGGGCGCTTCCCTTCCAGGCATCCTGCACCCCCAGGCCGCCCCTCCTCTTGCGAAGGGGGGCCTGCAGGTCTGAAAGGATCCAGTGTCCCCGGCCAGGTGGGCGTGCCCGTGGCCTTGGCGGGCCCCACAGGAAATGGAGGCGTGGAGGACCACCCCCCTGCAGCTGCTTAAAAGGGTACGGCCTGGGGCTGCAGGAGGCCCTTTGCACCATGAGGCCCTGGCTGCTCCCGCTGCTGCTGCTGCTCCTGGCTGGGCCCCCCACCGTGTGGCCTGCACCCCCGACCTGCTACTCCCGGATGCTGGGCCTGAGCCTGGAGATCAGCCGGGACTTCCAGAGGCTGCAGGCCATGGAGCCCTCGGTGAGTCCCCCCCCCGTCTGGCGCGGGCCAGGGGGTCCATGCAGACCCAGGTCCCCAAAGTTTGCCTTTGAATGAAAAAAAGTGCTGTTTTCTTTTCTGGTCACTGTTCGTCTTAAGGATATTTGTGTTTTATTCCCATCCTTTTAAATATGATACCAACGGTTTGTGCTTTAAGTACAAAGAAAAAAGTAACCAAAGACTTCCCAATGCTGCTTGTAGCTTGCTAGCAAATGTCAGCGGACCCATCGCGAAATGTGAAAAAGGAAGGAAAAACCTCCCAGTAAGTCTAGAACTCAGGAGTAAAAGGGGGAGCAGGGAAGGTGGCTGATTCATTCCCTTCCCCGGGCAGTGTGTTAGGGGGCGACTCCCAGAACTGCGCCCCTCCCCTACCTGCCGTGGGGCCTGGGCGAGTCACTCAGCCCCTCATCAGTGTCCTGCTCTGGGAGAGGGGATGGCTGGGCACCCGCCCCCTCCGGGCAGCTGTGAGGGTTCGAGGAGTGACTCAGTGCAGCAGGCAGAGCAGGGCCGGCACGGCACCCCCTCCCCCGGCCCCCCCGGAGTGGCGGCCGCTGTTATCACACTCTTCTAAGAGGAGGCCCCGCTCAGGTCAGGCCTAGAGACTGCCAGGGCCGGCCCGGGCTCCTGACTGCAGTGCAGGGAGAGATGAGGGGTAAACTCCATGAAAAGCTTTGGTAACATTGAAGTGCCCCTTTGTCACTTGTAAACACTTCCAACGCCGTGTGATGTTCCTCGGACATGGGGTTTATGGTACCCTAACACCTTCTTTGCATTTTCTTTTAAAAAGTTAAGTAATGTTTATTTTTTCCTAATTATGAAAGTCATATACCTTGTAGAACGGCGGGAAAATGCAGAAAAGACAAAGAGAATAAATATTACTGGCAATTCTTCCCCCTGGAGGTAGCTGCTGCCATAACATCCTGGAGGGTATTTCTGCTTTCAGCCTACGCAGGGGTGTTCAAGTGCTTGTGTGAGCGTGTGTGCGCGCCCATAAGTGTGCAAGTGTGTGTGCGTAAGTGCATGCATGCGTGTGTGGGTGTGCATGTGCGAGTGCGCACATGCATCTCTGTGAGTGTGCACTTGTATGTGCATGTGTGCGTGCATGCATGAGTGTGTGTGTGAGCATATTGGGTCCAACAGCCCAGCAGTCTTGCAATTTACTTTTAAGTGACACCATCACATATATTAACGTTCTTTTGTAACAATGGACTGTTGTGTACTTGCTCCACAATTTATCCACAGATTCCTTGGTATTATTAGTATATATATAAAACGAACGCCTTTAAGGAGTCTGATTTTAGGAGGCCAATGCCTTATCCATTAGGCGACTGGGGCTTCTAAGGAGTCTGATTTTAAAATGTAAAAAATGTACAGGCTCAGAACTGCAGCGATGGATGGAAGTGGAGAGGTTACATGTTCTAACTCTCTAATTTCACAACTGGGAAACTGAGTCACCTAGGAGAAGGAGATCTGCCCACGGTAACACAGGGAATTTCAAAGGGGTTCTGGTCCCATAAACCCCGCACTGGTAGAGCTGGACCGGAATCTGGGTTTAAAGTAAAAGACAGTGACACTGAGTATGCATACATAGGCATATTCCAACAGTGTCTTATATATATTGCAATATCTGGGTTACAGTTATAGAACTTTAAACATAGGCATGTATGTATGTGTACTTGTGGGTGTGGCCACACACACACACACACACACACACACACACACACACGCACACGCGCGTATGCAGTTCCCTAACTCCTAGCTCACGGTGTGGAGCCTGCCCTGGGAGGTTGGGTCTGGAAGAAAGTGGCCACAGGACAAGGCAGTCCTGTGTGTCGGCATCAAGGCCGCCGGGACCCGGGCTGGGCCTGTGCGGGAGGGCTGGCAGGGAGCCTGCGGTGACCGGGCTGAGGGTGTGTCCATGGGCATCACAGCGACGTGTCTCCCTTCCTGCAGGAGCTGTGTGTGACGTACCTGCCCCGGCTGTACCTGGACATCCACGTAAGAGGGGTGCCCCTGCCGGGGGAGGCGGGGGGGCGAGGGGTGGTTAGATCAGAGAAGAAGGTCCCTCTGGCTCCTGGCTTCTCCCACGAGACACCCCCTGTCGTCCACTCCCAGAACTACTGCGTGCTGGCCAAGCTGCGGGACTTCGTGGCCTCGCCCCACTGCTGGCGAGTGGCCCCGGTGGACGCCCTGAAGGATAAAGTGCGGAAACTCTACACCATCATGAACTCCTTCTGCAGGAGGGTGAGTGACGTCACGGAAGCGCTTGGTCTAGTGTTGTCAGTGGAGACGTCTAGAGGAGGAGGGTGGGCCCTGGCCGGTGTGGCTCAGTGGATAGAGCACCGGCCTGTGGACTGAAGGGTCCCAGGTTTGATTCCCAGTCAGGACACATGCCCAGGTTGTGGGCTCAATCCCCAGTGGGGGACATGCAAGAGGCAGCCAATCAATGATTCTCTCTCATCATTGATGCTTCTATCTCTCTCTCCCTCTCCCTTCCTCTCTAAAATCAATAAAAATATATTAATGAAAAAAAAAAAGAAGAAGAGGAGGGCTGGGAGGGGAGGGGACCAGGAGGAGGTAAAGTTTACGGAGTGCTTCCTGTTCACAAAGCCCTCCCACAACCATCGTTGCCCTTGGTAAGTGATGGGGAGCAGGACAAGCCCCCCGCCTCCAGGAGCCCCACGTGGATGTGGGGACAGCACCCAGGACCCCGCGCTAACCCTGTAAGAACACTCGGCTGGGAGCTGAACAGGGCAGGTGGGGAGAGGGCTGTGGACTCCCCAAACCCCAGAGCCCCCTCCCAGGGTCAGAGGCATGCTCTGTGACAGGGAGAAGGGGCTCAGGTGTGCGCTGTGACAGGGAGAAGGGGCTCAGGCGTGCGCTGTGACAGGGAGAAGGGGCTCAGGCGTGCGCTGTGACAGGGAGAAGAGGGAGGAGACAGAAGAGGCAGGGGTTGGCCCCGCTGAGATGCGGAAAGCATGGCCTTCGTGTGGTCCGAGGGGCACAGGCTTCAGCCCAGACAGCCCTGAGCTCCTGTCTGCACCCCCTGCTTCCCGGATGGGCGCACCCCTCACCTCTCCGAGCCAGTTTCCTATTAGTGCCTGGGGACAGGACAGCGACTGTCCGAGGACCACGGAAGGGGCTCAGGCGTGCGCTGTGACAGGGAGAAGGGGCTCAGGCGTGCGCTGTGACAGGGAGAAGGGGCTCAGGCGTGCGCTGTGACAGGGAGAAGGGGCTCAGGCGTGCGCTGTGACAGGGAGAAGAGGGAGGAGACAGAAGAGGCAGGGGTTGGCCCCGCTGAGATGCGGAAAGCATGGCCTTCGTGTGGTCCGAGGGGCACAGGCTTCAGCCCAGACAGCCCTGAGCTCCTGTCTGCACCCCCTGCTTCCCGGATGGGCGCACCCCTCACCTCTCCGAGCCAGTTTCCTATTAGTGCCTGGGGACAGGACAGCGACTGTCCGAGGACCACGGAGGAGGAGGACACTGACCGTTCCCTGACCGTGTGCCGGCGCCACGGCAACTCCCTGGGCCTAAGAACCCGGGAGGGGCCTAAGCATGGGGTTCCCAGCTGCAGGCTGGCCCGGAGCAAGCCCCCGGGAAGCTAATAATTAGCGGTTAGGTTATCGTTTATGCATTTCCTGCCCACGCCCTTTTCCCCCTCATTCCCCTGTGGGGGAGGGGGGGACGGAGGGGGACAGCAGGAGTAGGACATAAATAGCACAGTGAGTAGCGGTGTTACTGCCTCGATGGCACTCGAAGGTGAGCTCTGGCTGGTTTCCGTGGCGTCCCCGCAGCTGCTGCTTTGCACTTAAGGTTCATCCATCATGCACTCCCTCCCCATCTGTCCATCTGGTCAACACGTGCATGCATGGATCCCACAAATCATCAAGAACATGTGAGATTCTATGGGAGCATGAAGATGTGACTGGCTCTCCCTGGGAGGGTAAGACGGGAAGTCTTCCAAAGGCCCCGACCGGGAATCGAACCCGGGACCTCCTGGTTCATAGGTTGATGCTCAACCCCTGAGCCACGCCGGCCGGGCTACTGAACAGTCTTGGAGGGCAACCAGGGGTCTGTGTCCGTGCCCAGGCCCGGCAGCCGCCCTCAGTGACAGTCCTGCCGGTGGTCTCTTTCAGGACCTGGTGTTCCTGTCCGATGACTGCAGCGCCTTGGACTACCCCATCCCAGCCACCACGGTCCCGCCCGACCCGCAAGGCTGAGGCGGCCCAGCCCAGAGAGAGCGGGGCTGAAGGCGGTCAGCTGCCCAGGCACTGGGCTGAGCCCCTCCCCTCAGGCTCCCGTTCGCTGTCGCATCCCATGCTGTCACGCTGCCACACGCCTCTCCAGCGCTGGAGAGCAGGCTGGTGCCGACCATGGAACTCCCTCGAGCCCCTTAGCCCCCTGCTCCCCCCACCCGCCGGGCTGGCACGCTGCCGGGCGCACAGCGCAGGTGCACTTGGAAGGCGCGAGCCAGCTTCTCCCGGGGAACAGCCGCGTGAGAACAAGCGAAATGACGCGCGTGGTCGGTTCTCCTCGGAGGGGTGGCGGCACCGCGTTTCTCTTTCTCCGCGGAAACCTGCTTGCATTTAACCAAACTGTTTCACACCCGCTCCCGCCACGAGCTCCCCGAGCTGCTTGCATTGTGAGGAAGCGTTGCCGCCTGTATGTGTGCTAGCGAGGCCCACAGACGGCAGCCACTCCTCATTGAAAGGTGACCACACGCAAATAAAGACGATCCCTCCAGCGCAACGTGCGTCAGTGGCCTCAGTGCCTGTCTCCCAGTCTCCGAGAGCCGCTGCTCTCAGCCAGGCGCCCTCCCCCTCTTGCCCACACGCCCGATGCTCCTGGGACAGTCATCCGCCTGCGTGACTGTCCTCAAGGTGTTGGGAGGTGCTCCGGCTGGGTTGGGGACGCACGGGCGGGGTGGTGCCTGGTCCCGATTGCAAACATCGGTCCATGGGGTCCTCCTAACACACCGAGGACGGGCAGCGTAGGCGCCGGAGGCTCGTGTCCATTGAGTAACTTGCCGAAGGTCACCAGCCAGTGAGTGGGTGGAACTCAGGGCCGCAAAGCCCATGGTATTCCCGGGGCCCCTGCTGGGCCCTGCCCAGGCGGTTTGTTTCATGAAGACCTGAACCCCCAAGAACAGCTCCTGCGGGGGCTGGGCTGCTGAGAATCGTCACATGGGACGTGGGGGCTTCTGCTTCTACTCCCTCTGCACAGAGGGCCACGCTGCTCCCCCTCCATCGCAGATGCCTCTGGCTCCTCAGACGGAGGCTTCATCGGGGTTTTATTTTCTGTTCAGAAGCACAAGCCCACGGCGTCCCGGTACCGGCTCCCAGGCTCCGGGACCAGGCACCCCACGCTCTCCCACTGCCGCCCCTCCCGCCCTGTCCCCTCCGCAGCAGGAACGTTCACACACCCACAGAGCAAGGCCTCCGCCCGCTGGGCACTTCCTGCAGCTCCACTTGGACGAACGGGGAAGGTCTCCCCAGGTCGGTGTTAGGCACAGGGCTGAGGCCCAGACACCCTCCGCTGGTGCCTGTGGGCCCCAGAGAAATTACCGGAGGGATGGCTGTGAACGACGTGGGTTTGCCAGGATTTCACCCGTGGTGGCCGACTGGTGACATGTACCGCCGTGTCCGCGTCCGTCCGCTGCCACCGGTGA